CACACACACACACCTACCTATGACACAGAAGGGTTTCCTGGCGAAGCGGAGGCGTCCCTGCCAGCCTCGGTAGCGGCAGCAGCAGCCGGCGCTCCATATCCTGATGATGTACTCCAGACCAAACACTACAATCATCACAAACTCCTGCAGGACACACACAAGCAGAAAACAAACATATTTAAACCTTTAAAGAACCAGTGGAAAAGACAGACGTATCAAGGGGTCAAGGATTCTATAGTTTGTTACCGTTAGCTTTTCTAATGAAACAGAAAACACGTTTAGTGTCAATTTATATTCTGAAAAGGTCAATTTGTAGTAAATGTGAAAAAAAGTACTTACTTACCTTCATTATGAACTATATTATTGCTTTTTCACATATTGTATCTTTTTTGTATGCAACAATATAATAAAAGCTAATTCCTGAAAACCTGTTCTGCAATAAAACAGATTATAATTATGACTGTGTTGTAAAGTCATTTATAGTCTTTTTGTTTAACGTATTCACATTTCCTGGCAGGAAAAGCACAGGACTAATTTGTATTATTAATAATGTCTTTATTCCATTAGCGTGTGCCAGTTCCAGGCCCTTCCGTTACGCATGCTGCTCACTGGCTTGACGTACTGCAACACTTCAGAGAAACAGAGCCATCGTTTCTGTTATTAGTCACACCTGTGCTTTTCCTGCTATGACAGTTTAAGATGTCTGCTGTGAGAAAGGCTAACCCGCGCCTACCTAGCTACATAAATCACAATAAAACAGTCACATGAAAAGGTTGAAATCACTCTCATGTCTGTCCGTTAATCATGAAGCCAGTAGCAGGAGGGGAAGTCATCATACTCAGAAACAGTGAATCTGAATCCTGTGGCTTATCCAATAACTTCAAGACTGTCTTTTGAACGAGATGTTGAATTTTTAAAATACAATTTGATTTTGCTTTGACCACCATAGATGGAATAATTTCCTCCGTTTTATTGGGGTGGAACTAGAATTTCAGAGATGGATATTTTATAACCTGGAGAAGTGAAAACTGTCTGCAAGGCTACGTAAGACTGGAGGAGAAGAAACTTTACGCAACTTCTGTAAACTATCGTGAACGGCGCTTCTACTTATATAATGTGTGTGTACAGTAGATGTCTGTTCCTTCCCTACTTCAAGTTTACTTACTCCAAGTTTCGGTTTTCGCACCTGCTTTTGCTGATCATTACATATGACTATAGTGCTGAAAATGCCAAATGAGCATCTCTTATGCAGACTCATTACTGAGCTCCACACATTAAAAATAATGAATTTGTTTGTGATTGTGTGTGAGTACGTCCTACCAGGATGAGCAGGCAGTGAGCAGAGAATTCCTGGTGAGCAGGGATGGTTGAAAACACAGAGAGAACCAGACACCCAAACACCAGAATGAACCTGTGGAGACAAAAACACACACACACATATACACACACACACACACACAATCAGCTGCGCTTAATAAATAACTCTCACCACATATTAAGGAGTTTTGGCTCGTTAGCTCAGGTAATGAACCCATCTGCAGTGATTAACACAGAGAATGTGTGAACCTGCAAGCTATACAATGACGTGATTACTTCCACTCTTCCAGGCTTCATTAAGCAGGATTCAAACCGTACCAAACATTATTAAGAGCAGGATAAGCACTGTATAAAGCTCCACCAAGCGTTATTACACACAGCTGATTCACATCCTGTATGAATGGACTGAAGGTCAACAAGTCCTTCTCACAGTAACACTGGCTGAACGAGCCCTTGACACATTCGTGCACGATATGATGTGTGTGTGAGCTTGATTTGTAATTGTAGTTATTATTAGGAATGTAGGAACATTCATTCTTTTAAAGTACTCATTTGCGAGTGTTTCAGCAGCATTTCTGGCTCAACGTCATCATTGTTGTGATGTTTTCAAACTGCTCGTGGTGTCCTCTACCTTCTGTATTTTGTAATAAATTACAGTCATTTGACAAAAATATTTTGTCCAAAGAAACCTCACATTTTTTGGTAGACGAGAAATAAGCTTATATAATCATCATGTATATTATCTTGACTTTCACATAATCTTTGATATAGTAACATAAAGGGCTCAGTCAAATCTCAGTGTAGAAATACATTAAATGTAAACATCTATGAATAACAATGAAAGGTTTTGAGGTTCGAATCCTTTAGTTTTGGAGATTTTCACAGAATTTTGAGGCAAATACCGTCCAACCTGCTCTTCCTCCTGAGATATTAAAGGTCCCATGTCATGCTTTTCTGGTTATTACCCGTCCCCTTGTGTGTTATGAAGGTTTTTCTGCATGTAAACGGTCTGCAGAGTCACAAACCCTCAAAGTACAACCTGTAGCGAGTAAAACTCTAACACAGAAAAGACCTGTCTATGCTGCCCCAGAACGCCTCGTTGGAGATTTCTCTTATTCCATTTGTTTCTTCCGGGAGCCAAAATGGACCAATCCGCGGAGCTCCTCACACACCAGGACCTTTAGCGTATATGTTCAACTAACAGGGAGTCCCATTGACTTTCATAGAGCTCCCTGGTTGATAGACGAGTTGGGATGGCGGAGAAATGCTCTCCGCAGGTCCTCTCTCACAGCGTTTATAAACCTTTTTCTTACTCAATATCAAGCACACTTATTGTTTTTACTTCGGCTGAGTGTTTGTGTGTGCCCAGGATGAGCTTCGCTTGTTCCCGCTGTATCGCCGACCCGGAAACCACAACAGTAAGCCAGCTCACTGATCAGCGAGCCTCGCAACGTCCCGACCAATCAGAGCACACTGGGCTCACAGGGAGGGGGGGCAGGAGCTCCAACAAGCCGTGTAGGACAGAGAGTGAATACACACACTATACGGAAATGCTGTATGAGAAACCAATGTGAGTTTGGAACATTGCACAATATAAATCTATATTAGTAGACCTCAACAATGGAATTATGATCAGTAGAAATGGCCATGTCAAGGAACCTTTATCACCTGTGAAAAAAGATGGGTTTATTTTGGCAACACTGGTATCTACAGTAGGTAAGCATATATGTTCCTATTGATTTAACCAGGTTTTTAGATATGAACAAACATAATGAGCACAACAAGGTTGAATGGATTTTCATTTGTGGTTCTCACACGATTGAAAATGGCATCAAAACATTTGAAAGCAAAACGTTTTTCCAGAAACATGTCCTTGCCCTTTAGTGGAGTTATTTCTACTGAGGAAATAGTCCCTCCTTTGGAGAAAAACCCATTACTGTTGACAATTTGAAACGTGAAACTTGTCATTGCTATGAGCCATACTGGGATGGAAAAATGTCAGAGCTGATCTCTGAAGACACAGTATCGATCAACAAAGACTACAATGGAAAACAAAGGAGGTGAGAAACAAAACAGTGTTTCCTAATTCAGGTTTAAATGAACTGCATACACGCTGAGTCATCATTCGGACAGTAACACTGAAGTTCCCATCAGTTTGGAGATGTGAAAACACTGATATACCCCAAGAAAAAAGCTCCATTAAACACTGTTTCTAATTTCACAAACACATATTGCATCTTTACTTTATCCAATCAGAGCCCTCCTCATTGCCTGCCTGACCCCAAACACTCCTCTGCTGCCCGGAGGAAACCGCTCAATCCGTGAGTCATATGGTAACTTTGTTAATGAGCAAATACACATTAAAATTCATAAAGCAGGATCCAAGCAACATATGCACTTGCTAGCCTGCTGGTCCCTCTCCAAAACTTTTTTCTTTAAGAAGCCATCTGTCTTTCTGATGTTTACAGTCTTCTCATCTCTGCAGATCTCAGAGTGTTTGTGAATGTGCCTCGTTCCCCTCTCCTCTCCAGAGCCCTCTGTCTTATTTTCGCTTTAATCTTTTATGCTCTTTGTCTCTCTCATCCCTTCCTTCTCCATCTCTTTCCTCCCTCTCTGGACTCCCCTCACCATCTCTGTCTTTCTTTCTCCCGTGTATGATTGAAGCCATCATTTATTTTCCATGGGATACACAAGAGAATATGAAAAGAAGGCTTATGTGTGTATGAATAGTGTGTGTACCTGCCGCTGGGTTACAGCAGAAGATGATGGTTTCTAACATCAAACCCACATCTGCATCTGATACGGTTTACTTCTTTAATAGCTCTTTACAGTCACACAGACATATTTACCAAGACAACTCCAGTGTTGGTATTGACCGCTGATCCCCAATGACTCTTAACTGCTGTAAAAGGCAGCCTTTTCACTTTCATTCAGATCACTTTTCAATGTATACCTAAGGTCCATTAAAACATTATTATAAAATAAACAGACATTGCTCCAGATAACAGAAAAAACAACAAAACACGTAACAACTAAACAAAACATAACGAGGGGGGGGGATGCAAGGATGACTTCCTAAGACAGCTGATTGTGACATACACAGGACATTACACACACAATACATTACACAGGAGATGCCATATTGACAGGGTCAGATAGGAGAGCTGCGGACAGGGAACCGTAATCCTCCTGTCTCCTCTCAAAATCCCCCAGCAGAGAAGCTGCACGCTCCATATTGGTCCAGATACTCCCTCAGCCATGAGTCCCTAAAAAATCTGTGGATCTTGAGTTGAGAATGTTCAGTCAAAATGTTTACAGTTTGAAGAATATACTGTCAAGCTCAAATGTTGATTTTCTTTGTGTAGATATAAAAACGCCTGCCTAAAACGCCTTCATCAGACTCCTTCATTTACTTCCGTAACATTGTGACATTTTATTGGTAAGCTTGCCAACACATTATACATGATTGACTAAGAGGCGTGACATCTCTAAGCGACTGACCAATCACAACAGAGCTGGCCAGCTAACCAATCAGAGCAGACTGGGCTTTGGTTTCAGACAGAGGGTGAAAAGAGGTGCTGGTCAACCCTCCTGATTTTCGCGGGAGACTCCCGATTTCATTGCCCTCTCCCGGTTTCCTCCCGGGTCATATTTCTCCCGCATTTCTCCCGATTTCTGACAAAATCAGATTTAGTCAGGACTGTTTCCACTCAGACTTTAATACAGCTACACCATTGTTTGGTTTCCATGGTAACACGTCTCTTTAGTAGCGCGCAACTGAAAGTCTGAGAGGGTGAGGCAGATAGTCACAGAAACAGAACAAGAATCGACAACTACTCTACTCTCTGAC